TACCCCTAATGAATAGAAATGCCTCAAAGGTGGTGTCCTGTGAAAAATCACTCTTCCATAATTCTCAGTCTGTTCCAGATTTTCTGTTTTTCTTTAAGTCCTTGGCTTGTTTTAGCTGGTTTCAGGAAGAGGAATAATTAGAGACCTCTGATGAAATAAGGTGGTGGAAGACTTATCTAGTGAATCAGAAATGGATGGCAAAGCTTATTTGAGATAACGCCTCTCTAGCAAGCCTCAGAACTGTGATTTGAGGATAAAATGAGATGATAAGTGAAAAGGTTCTGAGGACTGCTGGAGGCATTTATTCAAATACAAACTTGCTTTGTTATCTCTACATTTTATAAGACCAGAAATCAGTAGCCTCAATGAAAGCAAATTCAAGTTGGGAATTCTTTTAAGGGATGTGTGATAATGGAAGATGGTTATTTAGGGGAAAGCCATTCTATTTTTATGTGTTTTGCCCCTTCTTTTTCAGTAGTACATCTGAAATAGAGGTTGTCCTATTCTTTATCACCCCAAAGAAATGAAGAGCCTGAATTTCCACTTTAGATAATTTCTTTGAGTGTCAAAGGAATGTTTCAGCAAAAGAAAGTAATCTTCACATAGGTCTGACCCTGCACAATGCCTGGGGTTGGGGGCAAAGGTTTTAATTAAAATGGAAGAGTTGGTAATTTCTACTCTATTTGGGAAGCTTAGACTTGATGTAGTTTGAGTGAAAGCAAAGGCTTTTGATTAAAATGCAAATATTAATGCAAGAAAAAGCCTGGAATGGACTCTCTGCAACTGAAGGAGATTGTGATTTCTTTTTCATGCTTTTTCCTTTGAAGTGATGATTCTTTTTATTTCCTGGAGCTCTGTAATACATACATTTAACATGTGGGGTTTTTTTCTCCTTAAAGTTGATTTCACTTGACAGTTTGTCTGCCTTTTCATACTGTTGAAAGCAGTGCAAATTGTAGGTATTGATAAATCTTTGAAAACACCATAAGGTTTTGTGGTGGTTGTTTGAGTCTGTGTGGGTGAGTTGGAGTCAGTTTCAGACGCATTTTCTCTTCCAGTTCTTCTCAGGGTGGCTGTGTGACAGCTCTGGTCTTCCTGCTCAGAGTCTCCATATAGACACAGAAGCTGGAAGCATCCACATTGGGGCAGGCACACCTATTTACTGAGCAATTGTATGAGCAAAAACAAATTGAATTGAAGTAGCATGTACTGTCCTTGGGCTAAAGGCTCATCAAGTAGTATTGCAGTGAAAAAGATGCATTTTTATTGTTGATTAGCCATTAATAACAGGAAATGGAAATGTGGTCAATTTTACCAATTCTGAGCATCACAGTAAATGAGGCTTTTCACTCATTATATAATTGTGGGTAAAAAGTGGAATTATCATGGCTTGAGCATTTTAAAGTTATTATTATTATATCACAGGAAAATTTGTTATAGAAATAAAAAACAAAAACACAACTCACTCTAACGCATTTCTTTTTCCATTTTTGTTTTCACCTCTTCTTGATATACTTATAAACTTTTATGTTACTGTAATCATAGTATACATGCAGTTCTGAGATTAGCATTTGTCATTCATCATTCATTATGTAGAAAGCCTTTATTCTGATTATGTGCTAATTATAAGGTCTCTCCATGGCTCCTGCTTTGACCAGTTTCCTATTGGTGAATGTACAGCTGTCTATACTACCTTTTCTTATTTTGTGGTTGTTCAAATTTAAGTAATGCTGCAATGAACATCTTTGCTTGGATTTGAATGTATCTTTTTTTCTGCAGGGAACTTTATGCTTTTTAAAAGAATAAATGGAAAGCAGTGAGATTTCTGTGCCAAATTTCAAGGACTTTCTAGTAGTTAACAGGTAGAGAGGAGCAATTGGAGGCAGACACCATGACTCTGAGAGTCTCATCTTGAGGAAGAGATGATGTTGAGAAGAAGGGAGCAGACTCCGGCCCTGCTTCATGATCAGCTTGGAGTCTGAGGTCAGAAGCAGGGAAAGCTACAGTAGACCCAGGAAAAATCTGCTGGGAAACTTTCCCCCTGAGTTGGCATGTTAACAGAGAAGACATTGGCTCTGCCTCAAGAAACCTGGAGAAACCAATGGGGGAGGGATCCCACTCAGAGGGAAGCACTCAGTGATGAGGTAGCACACCCCTGCCCCACCGTCGCTCCAGCCAGGTGTTACTTGCCAGAGCTCTGTCTCACTTCTGACCTTAGGCAAAGCCCCCCATTGGAGCAGTCAGGGTCTCTTCCCCAGGATTGGAAATGGGGGAGCTGAAGGAACAAGGAGCCTGCAATCATCAAACCTGCTACTGAATCTCAGATCCCAACTTCTCCCATCACTAACAGCTTCACAGATGACCTTGTCATTTCTTTTCAGCTAATAGGTTTTTACTAGATTTGTCAAACTGCAACGAAATAGCTCAGTGAACTTTCTCTTTGCTGGAAATTTTTTTTGTAAAGAAATAGAATAATTTAGGAAAGAAGGAAAAAACAAAGCAAAACAGCTGCCAAACAAACCACATTGTGAGATTTCCAATTTTGCCACAATTTTGTTCTCCGGGAATCCAGAGCTTCTTGGGGACAGATGATGTAGGAACTGCGCTAGGAAGTTCTTCTGTGATAACAAATGCAAAATTGAAAATCCACGTTGGCTGCATGTGAGTTCACACATTCACCATGCTGTCTTTTTAACAATTACCACTTTGTACTTTTCCTCCAGCCCGGGCTGTGTTTACCTTCAGCCTCTTGTAGGTTTTGAAGTGTTCTCTTTTTTATTGTTTTGACTATAACAGCCTTCCTAATATTACCACTATCCTCTACTTCCAAAAACTCAAGAAAATAGTAAAAAATACAGATGTATGTTAGTAATCAGCTTATTTATTTTCAAAAGAATAACGAAAACAAAAAAATAATAGGCTGCACTGGACCGTTGTCATAACCATGCAGAAGTTGAATAATGATGTTGAATTATCTGACAAACATCTACATAGGTCTTTATTTTTCTGTCCTGTCGTTCCAGGAAAACATAAAACAAACAAATAAAAACTCCAGATAATCTCAATTAAAACCTAGTATAGGATCTAGAAGTAGACACAGATGTTGACAATATATTTCAAACCACGCTTCAGTACTTTTATACATCTGTAAAAATGTCTCACGTTCCTTTAGTACTTTTAAACCCATTTAAAGGCCTTTACAGTGTCCAGGGACTGTTTTGAATCCTCCTTGTTCTAGACAGAATAAAGGAATTAAAAAGTGATGAATAAGGAAGGCCTGGCAGAAAGTATTCACAATGTGTCCTGCAAACAAGATGCAACTTGCTGTGTGTTCTCTGAAAATCACTTTGCCTTTGTGGCTAATCCATAAAAGTAAACCATCATTGGAGAGATTGTCTAAAACTCAACTGTGAATAAAGCAAAGTGGAACAGAATCCTTGAAAGGAGGACATCCTCAGTGTAAAGAAGAGGAGATTGGAATTAGGTAGTAATGGATACAGTGTTAGATATTGGATGTTGTCAGTAAGTATTTAGCATTATGTAAATTATAATTTTTCACATGCACCATCTCAATTGGTTCTCACAGCTACCCTAGTAAACATTAATTTATTTATTTTGTACATGGGGAAGATGAAACCCATCTGACTATACATCAATTCCAGTCTCTGGCCCAACATCACACAGCTAGTGTGCAGTAGAGTGGAGTTGGGACTCTGAGCTTCTGTTTTATACTTTCTTACTGATCATTCGCTCTGCCTCCAGAGAACCTGGAAGTGAACAGCACAATGATGGGAGTCTGGGTGGGCTATCTGTAGATCCCCCAAAAGGAGGGAAAGACAAAACTAAGAAGGGATTCATAGCTAAGTGTGGTGGCACATGTCAGGAGGCCAAGGCAAGAGGATTGCAAGTTTGAGCCAAGCCAGGGGAACTTAGCAACTTTATGAGACCCTGTCTCAAAATAAATTAATTGATTAAATAAAGGGCTGGGGATGTAGCTCAGTGTGAAGGTCTGGATCTTAGTCCCCAGTATTAAAAAAAGAAAAAGAAGGAGGAGATTAATTTCTCCATAATGGGCTTGGACCAGCCGGGACTGCCTGCTGTCATAATCCTGCCAGTCCCGGGCAGTGGGCCTTCCTTTCTCCATTTGGTCACCTGCTCCTGCCAGCTTGCAGGTGGCCTGGGTGCTGAGCCATTTCCAGACTGGAATGTGGTATCTTTTGTCAGTTCTGCTTTGACCTCAGAGAATCCCTCCTTGCTAGCTGCTTAATGAGACTCAGGTTTGGAAAACTGGAAGGAAGGGATGCTTTGGGGTGAGGGGGTGTGTGCCAGGAGCCCAAGAATCTCAGATGCTGATCTCTGAGGAGGGCACAGGGGTGAGAGAAAATTTTATTGCCACTTCGCTTCTTTTTCTGTCTCTCTGCCCTCCCCTCCCCTTCTCTCCCTCCCTCTCCTTTCCCTTTGTCTCTCCTCTTCCTTCCTCCCACCCCTCCTCCTCTCTCCATTTTGCAGTACTGGGGATTGAACCCAGGCCCTTGTTCTTGCATCCCTGGCCCTTTGTAAATTTGATTTTGAGATAAGGTGTCATTAAGTTGCCTGGGCTGACTTTGAACTTACCATTCTCCTGCCTCAGCCTCCTGAGTAGCTGGAATTACAATTGTGCACCACTAAGCCTAGCATATGGCCTCTCTTTATCACAATCCATCTTTTATGTTATTTCCGCTACTCACCTGTCTTACTTTTTAGGACAATTAAATATATTATCCACTCTAAGCTAGATGATCTCAATTTTTTTACTTAATTCTGAAATGACTTTGGCTTTATGATTTGGGGGAAATAATTTAACCTTTCTGAAACTATACCATGCATAATAGGAGCACAAGACAGTGTTTTTTTACTGAAAGCATTTCTTTGCAGTTGTGGTCATGGCCTGCGCTTCATTCTCTTCTTTTTTCTCAAATGCCTTCACCATTAAAGTTTATCTTTCTGCTTTTCCTCCCCAGAGTCGAAAACATGCAAGCAAAGTCCGACTGTATTATATGCTGCACCCCAGGGATGGCGGGTGTCCTGCCAAGAGACTCCGGGCAGAAAACGTGAGTATCACCTCCCAGAAGAGAAGATTCCTTAAGAACCGCAGGTCTGGGAGTTACAAGTTCAAATTAAAAGTGACGCTAAGTACAAATAGCTCTAAGTACTGTGGAAAACATTGTGGATAAGCAGATTTTTTGTTCATTTTTGCTTTCTAGCCAGAGCTCTGTGGGGTGAGTTTGTGATGATTGCAGGGGATCCCATAGACAGAACTTGTGCACAGGAACTGGGAAAGGGCCAGGCTGGGTGGCAGGGGACAGAGTGTTGAGAAGACAAGACCTCAGGGCCAGCCTGTCACAACATTAGAGGCTTTGCTTTTTACGTATTTTATTTTTCCTTTGCTGGGTAGAACAGAATGTCAGTTTGTTAATTTATGATGAAGACTGTATATATCTTGCAAATAAAAATACTCAAGCTTTTTTATCAGCACCCCTTCTCCCTGAGGGAACACTGACTTGGAAGAGAGATGACATTTGGAAAGTTACTTTGAGGGTGTCAAGTCAGTGCGAAGGGGTTTATTTCAGCTGGGCGAAGGCAAAGACTATGAGATAAATATTCCTTCCCCCCAACAGGGGTGACTTTCTATAGTGAGTGGAGTATTCATACCCACAGCTACATGAGTCCTTCATGCTGAGCACTGTGGATTCAACACAGAAATTCCCCACCCTTTGAGTTCAGAGGAGACTGCAGGCACGGAATTGATACCTCATCCTGTCCATGCTTGTGGTCCTGTTTTGTAGATATCTATCTCCTTCTCTTATTAAAATTTAATGTACTATGATTGGAGAAACTACGAAACATGGACTTCGGTATATTTTGCAGAGGAAAATAAGAAAGAGAAGCAAGTGTGCTGTGTGTGAGCGAAGGCCATGAGCATCAGAGCCGGGGATTCTGAGGAACCCTTGGGTAGGCCTCTCAGAGTCACGAGATAAGCTGTGCTTGCAGACTAAACTGGAGTGCTGTGGAGCTGTCTGTACTGCCTGGGAGAAGCAGCAGTTAGAACTCAGTGGAGGCCCACGATACCATTAAAACTTTATCAGCTACCAGGAGCTGGGACCAAGGCTGGCTCTGATGGCTCTTACCTTAGATCTCTTGCAGCCTCAATTTCTCCAATCAGGCTATAACATACTTTCCTCTTGAAGCTTTTTTGACTGTTAAATGAAATGATAATGATAAGATGCACTGTGCCTGTGACACAATGAAGAACCCTAGGTAAATAAGACAGACTTTCCTAAAGAAAGTCATATTATAGTGAGGGAGATTAGCACTGCATTAAAAGTAGCTATGATTCCCAACACGTATGTGTTTATTAACAGTCTACACAAAGAACCATGGAGACAAAAGGCGAGTGAATCATGCCAAGTGGTCCAGCTGGGGGAGGTGTTACTGAAATGTTGGCATTTACCAGGATTACTGGGTGTGAATGGATTTTACCAGATGGAGGAGGGAAGCAGACATGAGGGGGAGGATAGCAATTTTTCAGGTGCATTTTCATCAAATATTTGTTAAACCACAGGGCAGTGAGCTGAAACAGGCTTTTATGTAATCTCAGAATCCTGTAGCTACACTAGAATCACGCCTTCCATTAGATGATAGTCTATTAGCAGGTCTAACAGAATCAGTTTTTTATCCCTGGACATTATCAAGCAATAGTGCCTGTATTCTGTCATTCAAAAGCCATTTAGTGTCTTCTTGTCATTGTCAAAAACAGTGGGGTTCATAGCCACTGAAAAACTGTTTGGACCCAAATTATTTTCTGTGCCCTCACATTTTCATCATGCAGGTTGCACTTAGATCTGACCTCCTAGGCTGGGCTCTAAACAGAGGGGAGTGCAGGGCCTCCAACAGGGCTAGATTTGCAGATTCACCAACATTGTCTTTGCCACCCTGGTCAGAACTATAGTCCAGCCCATTGGGGCTCTGTGCCTGTCAATAATCCTGGAAACAGCGTGTGGTGGGGAAGATGTTTGGATTTGAGAGCAAGAAGCATTTGCAGGCACTGTTTACCAAAGACCTCCTCGGAAACTTTTTTTCCCATGTATCGTGGATTTTGTAAACTCTTATCTGCCAATTGTTTATTTATTGAGTCATTTTTCTCTAACTTAGTAATTGTAAAATGACTGCAAATCAGTAAGCAGCAAAAGCAACAAGATAATCATAGTTTCTGAAAGATATGATTGCTGCTTTTATTACATTGTGTGTTCTCATAGGTGAATGCACCATTTTCATTATGCATTCTGGTGAGCTGAGTATAGCTAAGACCCAGCTCCAGTCCTTTTCAGGGGCTCTAAGGGTGTAGGTGTCAGTAATGATTTGGACAAGCTTTGTTTCATTCACACTTATACCAAAGCACTGAGAGACTGAATATGCCAATAGAATCTGATTAATGACAGGAACCCTAATTTTTGTCTCTACTTCCAATTAAGACCAAGCAGAGAAAGCCAAGTATATTCTCCAAAAAGAACAGGATGCCCTGTTTCTGGTTAGCCCTGCTACATCTTCCCTTTGCAAAACAGCTTGCTATCAGAGGACACCTGAAGTCTATCTGTCTTCTACTGTAAAGCCGTTCCACTCTGCTTGCCTCTGTGTCTCTCTCAAATGTATGTGATGGTGGCTGACTCCTTGGTACCACAAGCTTCCCATAACCAGCCTCTGGCTTTTCTCTTTGGTGGTCTTGTATTATCTCTATAGGGCTGTAAAATATCTCTGTAGGGAGTAACAGTTGCTAGCATACAGATCTATCATAAGATTCACTGGAGACCACTCCCATTTGTTTAACTTTGTATTCACAGTACTTTCCTCTTCATGCATTCTACTGATGGTGCTCTCTCCGCCAGCACCCTGCATTTCTGAAGGATATAACATTTTATTCTACTTGCTTCTCTGTTCCTACTCATCTTGTGGTTCCAGGGGCTGTGACAGTTTTGAATCCCACCATTCCCCCATGAAGAAGAGCTTACACTTCTACCCTCAGCACCCATGCAGGCGTGGTGGCTTGTGGCAGCAGAAAACTCGTTCCTGGTGCCCACCCTCTGCCCTTGCATTCCCCACTCCCTGCACTTGGGGTTACACAGCTCCAAAATCACTTAAACTTGAAGCCAGCTGCCTGTCATTATACCCATGGTCTATTATTGCTGTTTCTACTTCAGCTCCTTTGACCTTTTTTGTTGACAATGCTGTATTGTCATTTTTAAAAGCTTCAAATCATTTTTGTCTCTGTTATAGTGCATCCAGCTTTTAAAATTCCCCCATTAAATATCTTACTGTTTGGAATCTTCATTTGGATCTTTGACCCAACACCTAAATTTCAGAGCAGGACATTTTCCCCTTGAGGTTGAAGAGTAAAATTAAATGTGAAATAAATTGTTAAAGTTGATTGCCTTAGAGAAATTTTCAGTAATCCTGGGAACATTAGAGCACAGAAGGATTTTAGAGATCATCTAGTCCATTGCAATTTTCAGATTTTCACTACTGACCCCTTTTATTCTCTTCTCTGTACATCACGTGCTTTGAAAAAAAATGTCATCTGTTTGGAAAATAGCACTGTCAAGTAAAAAGGTGATTTGGTTTTACTATATTTTTTTTGTTCTGGAAAGACGTAATTAACTATCAATCAAAATTACCAGTTGTTATTAGGTAAATGGTATTTTTCCATGAAGTTATAATTCCCCCTTGAAGTGGAGGAACTTGACATTTGGGTAGTATGGACAGCTTGAGTAGCTCCTAATATTTATATGCTTCTCCTTAGGTCTGAAACATTCAGCATCACTTGAGAGCTCTACTGTCACTTTCCCAGGCCCCTAACCATCTTGGATTCCAGGATGAGAAACAGTAGTCTGACTACACTCTTGTCACCAGGGTGAAAAGAAGGACCAAGGAAGTGCCTTGACCTATCCAAATTTGTAGGCCCGAGATTAAGACCCTGCTTCCCTAAATCCTATCCTTTGGCTTTCGCATGTGTCTCCAAGTATCTTGGGCATTGAAGTCATGGTTGGATCTAGAGCCAGAGAGCACTGCTGTTCTGGGCAAAGATATAAGGACAGCTGGCCAGTGCCAGGCACTTCCCTGTGTACTGTAGATGCCTTATGTGCATCAGAACAGGTCATCCTTGAAAACACCATATAAGGGGGCACAGACACTACCTACACTCTGCAGGGAGAGGACCTCAAACACAGAGGACCCCAAACACCAGCTGCAGATGACAGGGACATGGCTGGAAAGACAGGAAATTGCAGCCAAGCTTCACCACTTCTCTCCATAGGACAGGTCATCAGCCTCTGATGAGGGTTGGAGGAAATGGAGAATCAGGATCTGTGATAAGTCAGCTGTATAAACCATGAATCTTAACACCGTGTGGCTGGCATTCCTGTAGACCTGTCCCCAGGCACAGGGAGGGATCCCCAGTCAACCTGTGGGATGAAGGGGAGGCAGTTTCCTGGAGAGAGTGACAGGGAGCTGATTCCCAAAGGAGTGACATAGGTGAGGCACATGGGAAGGATGGAAGGGCTCTTCTGAGTGTAGGATCAACATGAGGCCTGTCCTTAAGGAGAAAAAAGTCAGAGTTTTTCTCCAATATGAAGTACTCGTGGATAGCTGTTAATTTCCTGCAGACTCTCATTCGTAAGTTTTTGCTTTTGCTTTGTTTTCTGAGGCAGTAGAACTGTACAGTCCAGGCTTCATTCCTCTTGCCTCAGTCTCAGGAGTCCCAGGATCACAGGCTTGTACCACTGCACCTTGCAGTAATATTCCTTCTTATATGTATCAAAACTCATAGTGAACAATGAGTTCTGGGTTGCAGAAGAGGATTTTTTAATTTTGCACCTGTCCATTAAGTCTTAGTGCACAAGCTAAGACAGAAACACAGACAAGTGCCATACTGCAGCTTCTGTAATGAACAACCACAAGCTAGGCGGTAAAACAAGACTGATCTCTTACCCTTCTGGAGGTACACATCTGAAATCAGGTGTCCACTGGGGTCCCTCTGGATGTGCCCAGGAGGGTATGC